ATACATACAGACTCAAAAGTGAAAGGTAAAAAACAAGTTGAGAAAATAAGAATCAGAAGCACTGTGCGATGATGGAAGTTAGGTGAAGGGGTTCATGTCACTGAATAAAGGAGAATGTTTCAAAGTATGTTTGGGAAATTCCCCAGTTGGGCAGAAGGCCCAATGGGTGGCCATAGCAGTTATGCATGCATCCAAACACATTAAGTAAAAGAAGTACAGAAATAGGGAAGATGGTAACTTTTAGGAGAGTCAAAACCTTACGCGGTTATATAGTACTATTGAAAGACCTCCCTTTTTAAAATGTGTCAATGTTCTTTAAAAAGAAGATCTATCAACAACATTTTATATTATTTAAACCTACTAGCCTATATTTCTAGTTGGCTACACATGAAAAACTTTATGAAATATTATGCATAAACAAGTTATATTGTCAATAGTGTTTGGTATTTTATGTATGTATGTATATATATATATATATATATATATATATATATATATATATATATATATATGTATGTATTTCAAAAGCTAAATAACAGAGCAGGCATATTAAAGACCAACCAACCACATTTCTTTGAAGCTGAATCAGTCCTTTGAAAAACTGTTGGAAAGAAGCAATACTAGTTCAAAGGAACAAATGTTCTCATATTTTTAAGTAACATTTTAACTGGAAAATAGAACACTTGTTTGAAAAACATAACTGCCACAATAATAGAAATGGGTGGATACATTCAAACAAGTGCTGTAAAAAAAAAAAAGACACTAATCTTGAATGTTATCATTTTTGTGTAAGTTTGCAAGTTTTATCTCTCATTAGATTAGTTAATACAATACAAACACATTTTTCATAGGCTGGTTTCTAGGTAAGTTGGGCTTGTAATTTATTGTGTTGCCTTCTCCACTCTCCCCCTAACTTCCTATCCAGAGGCCTCCTCTTCCCAGTGGCCAGCTTCAACGTTCTGTTCTGCTTCTTGGAAGGCCAGGACTACCTGGTGTCTTAACCTTGCTCTCCAGAACACATCCCTGGGCAACAGATCAGTAATGACCTAACATTTTTTTTTTTGTCTGAGCATACCATTGGAAAGAATTTTGAGTTTACTGGCAGTATCTTCATAAATTATAAGCATTTATAATTGTCAATATACTAGGAACACAATAAAGATACTGAAAGAAAATTTTCACAAGATGAGATAAAAGTGAAGTAAATCACACTTAAAACAACTTAAAAATATATGGTAATAATATAAAATATATTTTTCTCTAAAATGTTGTTGCTAATAAATCTTCCCAGAAAAATAATTGAATATGTCTCATTATTTTTTTAAATCTTGGTTTGTTTTTTTTTGTGAAACAGCTATACAAAAAGTCTACTTTCACATGTTCCATTTACTTAAAGGCTCTCTGAAAAGAGCTCATAAAGTTACATCAACTTAAATGAAAGAATTGCTTCATTAGTTGGGCAGCCGAATCATGATACTTATTTTTCCATCCCATCATTTATTATGCAGCGTTTTTTTGGATGAAATCTGATGAAAACACTTTCATCTTGCCTAATACCACTCATTTGCTCCTGCAAAGTAATTAGGAGGTTGATTATATTTTTAAGATATTGCTTCAAACTCCATGGAAATTCTTTTTTAGAAAGGTATTGTAAAAATCCCCTAAGGGAGGTTTTTTAAATAGGTTACCTGCATTGTTTTCAGTCACAAAAGTTATATAATGAGGGAAATGCTTCCCATCATGAACATAGTCTGGTGGGTCTAATTATCTCATCTTCTGAAAATTTTCTTTTTCAGACTTCATAGGCCCCAGAGTCATCATCTGAGTTGAAAGCCCTGCTCCTCTCCTCACTACTGGTGTGGCTAAGGGCATGTTATGTGCTCACCCAATGCCTCCATTTCCTTTTCTGTAAATTGGGATAGTAATAGAACCTACTCATTATGAGACTTAAATACATCAACCTTAGTAAAATACTTAGTATAATATCTGGCCTATATTAAGTTTGATTAAACATGTAAAGGATTATGGGGGAAATTCTCATGCTCTGCTGTTAGGTGTGTATAATTAAAGTTACTTATGAAACCAGTTGTGTGTACGTACACCATGTGATCTGGCATACACATGCAAAAGAGATGATTTTTTTAAAGTAAGAATGATCCTAGAAACTTGGTAATAGTAAAAGCCAGCTATAACCCACTGTCCCTATATAATGGAGTAGATAATAAATGGTCACACATTTATCCATTGGATGTTATTCAGCAATAAAAAGGAAAGAAAGGAACAAACCTCGGGTACATCAATATAATGAATGTTACAATGATGATGAACAAAACTAGTTACAAAGGAGTAGCACATTATGCCCCAGTGGGAGAAATGGAGGAAGGGAAGGAGGGAGGGAGGGAGATAAGGAGGGAGAAGGGGTGGGAGGGAGGAAAGACAATCAAAATATTTGTTTGGAGACTAGAGAATAACACTATAGGGAAAAGTTAATAGTCATCACAAGAATCAGGTTCATAATTATCTCTCAGGAAAAGAAGGCACAATTGAGAAGCACTGTGTGTGTGTGCAGTGTGCAAGACTTCTGATAATGCTCTACTATCTCATCTGAGAGAAGACTAAAACTTTTATTTTATAATTAGTGATTAACTAAATGCATGCACTTTATGCACTTTTCTATACATGTCTTTTTTCACCAGTTTTTACTACACAAGTTTTATTCTTACAAAATGGACTGCATTGGTAACATCCTATAGGGTCATGTGTTTTGGCCAAGATTCTTTGCTGGAATAACTGCCTGTGAGATACACCATGAATGAATTTTATGTGGGTGCTCTTTCTGCAACCTTAACTTGGAATTTTTCCTCACTTAAAAATAATTTAGTCAGAACAATGAATCCATTAATGGTTATACTTAAGTTTTGTATAAAGCATAGTTTTTATTTCTAAAAGGGCGGTCATTGTGTAAATAGTATTGAAAGACATAGCTCAGAAAGACTATCTCTGCCTTTCAACCCACAAAAAATGTGATTTTAAAATGTATTTCTTTACTGAATTACAATCTAATAAATACCACACTGAAACAGAATCTATCAAATAGTATGACACATATTAAAAACATCTGTGCTTTCAGATTCAGTGTATAGTAAACTCCCTACATTGTGTTATGCTCCAATACTTGGACCGCTAGCAATATTTTATGTGCACATTCTGAAGGTATTTGCTGTCAAAGGAATGCAGCTGTTTTTTCCCATTTGTGTTCCATGTATTATTTCAGACATTTTTATCTTGGCAAGAAGGAAACTATCTTCCCAGGGGTGTGTTGCTTTTTGACTTTCATTTTTAAAAAAGCTTAGAGGAGACTTTTTAGCACCTAGAATTGGTGAGTTTTCTAGAAATTATTGGCTTGAAAAGCACCTTAATACCTATGCTGGAATTATGGCTGAGCTTGGCCTTCATGTATGGATGGACAGCTTTTAAATGACAAGATAATTGTGAGCAGTTCAGAGTATCATTATCTGTTAGCTGTAATGTGTACTCAGGGTGAAGTCGATACTAGCAAAAAAAGAAGTAAATTCCTACTTAGAACAGTCTTCTTTGTGATTTTAATCATTTTTTTGTCAGATCTGATTAGTCATTAGATTTTTTTTTTGTATGTGGCTTCCAAAGGGTATCAGAAGTGTCAACTCAGCCAGTTGTGTTTGCCTGTTGTTGCATTAACACTGTCTTCACTGCTCTGTACTGAAACAATTCACTTAAATATTATCCATAAATAGACTTACAGAAACTACAACATGTGGCAATATGTTGATAATGTGATAATAATGTTGAAAGTGATTTGAGGAGAGGTAATTGCTTCTGTGCTTCCATCCTCTCCCCAAAACACCAAGTGTCCTGTGTACTTACGGATTAAGGAGGGGTTCCATTGCCAATCCACACATTACGTATTAACAAAGCTTAATTTTCCCCTCTTTTATTATTGAAGTTATGTTGGTTTATAACATCACACAGGTTTCAGGAGTGCAAGCTTTTGAATCAACATTTGCATATACTATACCTTGTTATACTTACCACCAGTATTTAAGTTTCCATCCATCCCCATACAGTTGACTCCTTTTTTCCTTTTAATCCAATCCCCTTGCTCAAACTTACTTCTGGTAACTGTCCTATTGTTCTTTTAGTCTGGGAGTTTGTTTTTATTTTACTTGGTTTATTTATTTTCTTTGTTTCCTCAGGTACTGCATTTTTTCCCCCTTTTCTTTGGTAAAAATATATGTTGTTGCAAATATCTTATTCTGGAATTTCACAGTTCACCCAGTTTTTGTACTTTACTTTGGAGAATCTTGCTCTAGATAAGCAATCTTAAAATTTTGGTTCTTTTAACATTAGAAACCCCTCCTTAATGAAAATGAATATGAAAGTCTAATATTTAAAAGCAGATGGCAATAAAACTGCTCTGATTGTCTTTGAGATGAGAGAAGGAGGCACTGAGATCTCTCACACATTAGGCCTCTTTCTCCCTCATCTCCTCAGGAAACAAGGTGGAAAAGTGTTGTTTCCAAACTAGCTCTTCAGACCTGCCCTGACCAATACTTGCTTCCTCCCCAGTCACTAAGGAACAAGTATGTTTTTCTAATGCTGATGTATTAATAGTCAAGACTTCAGGACCAGTAATAACAGCTCACTGAGTTACTGTACATGTATTTTACACTCATATTTGGGTACAATTTATCTGGGGATAAGAACACCTTATCCCCAGAATGAATATAAATGGTTTACATTTCATCTACTAAAATAAGAAAACATACTGTTTGGATTTGAGGCCCTTACTTGAGTATTTTGCAGTAACCTTGAGGTTGGACATATGATAATCCAATTTATTAGACCCCTGTAAAAAAAAAGTAATTAAAAAAAATCTACTAGCAAGGGAAACTATAATTATATAAAACCATTAAAACTTTAAATAAGAGGGAAAATTATAAAGACATTGCTTTAAGAGCACTATGAAAAGACTCTTTGAGGTATCAGGAAATGGACCATCTGGTATCTGCCACGATAAGTAACACCAGTTGTTGTAATAATTGCCCCTAAAGTGTCTGGCTTAACTCAATAAAGTTCTATTTCCTCACTCATATCACAGTACAACGCATGCTGTGAAGAGGCTCTGCTACAGCCATTTAGGGACTCGACCTTCCTCCATGCTGCAGACAACAAATTCAGACACAGCTTCAAGGCTAACCTGGTTCCATCTAGAATGGAGAGCGACACCTCCTAATCATGTAGCAGGATCGAATTTCACAGATGAGAACTAATCCTGTGGCCCTACCTACAAGCAAATGTTGGGTTTAGTTTAATTCTCTATAGTTTAGTTATGCTTAGTTTAGTTACGGGTCCTGGGAAAGAAAACAGGTTTGGTGAGCATCTAGCCAGATTGTGTCACGTATCCAGAGGAATCTCCAGAGATTTCTGTCTATAACTTTGAGTAATCTCTTGGGGACCTCAACCACTCTCTTTACTTTTTGCTGTAATAGAGGAATCTGCATGCCAGCACTAACTTTGGCTCTTGGTGTTTCCTGAACAAACCATGATCTTCTAAGTCTATACTGGTTTGCATGTAATTTGCATATAAGTCCATGCTTTCCTCTGTTCCTTTCCTTCCAACTTCTTCCTCTAAATCTAGCAAACTCCTCATTTTTTCCCACTTTCCCCCTTTTTCCCCCCACCTCTCCTGTTTCTCATCTTTAAGACTTAAAATAATGTTTGTATGCTCTATGAACATCATTCTGATGACACAGAAAGCAAAGATCTCTTTAATATTCATAGAATATTAAAGTCATTTAAGTATCTGCCATGTCTGCCTAGTTTAGGCCTTACCTATGCAAAAGCCAAGAGAAAAAATGAATGTTGTCTTCCTTCCTGGCCTTTCTCAGTGTCTTTTTTGGTATAGTGCTAAAAAGTAACCCAAAATTTACCACTCCCACTCTTCCTAAGTGAAAGTGCAAGTATTAACTACATGCACCTAGTGTAAAACAGATCTCTAGAACTTTTTCACCTTGCAAAAGAATCATCTTCCCTCCCCTTTCCATAGTTGCCCCCATTTGACTTTCTGTTCCTAAGAATTTGACTTCTTTAGAATGCTTCACATAAATGTGATAATGAAGTATTTGTCTTTTGTGACTGAGTTACTTAACTTAGTATAATGTCCTCCAGGGGCATTAATATTGTGACATATGACAGGATTCTTTCTTTTTTAAGGCTGAATAATATTTCATTATATGCATCTACCACATTGTCTTTATCCAGTCATCCATTCTGGTTGTCTTTGTTTTTGACCTGTATTTACTGGAGGGAACCTATGAAAACATCTATTTTCTACTGACCCAAGAGATAAAGGTCATTCTGCTCTCCTAAATATATCAATATATTTTACAATCTGGGAACTACAAGGGAAATTATACTGAGTGCAAAGGGAAATTAAATTTAAAAAAATCAATGATTACATAAAGAACACCTTCTGTTATACCCTATCTGCACACCAGAAACTATTAAACTACTTTTCAACTGAACAAGGACCCATAATAAAAAGCTATTCACATTCCAAAGGCCTCTTACCTTAACCATCTCTCTGCTCCACTCATTACCTCCTGCTTCAGACCCTCAAAATAGTTCTGTTGAGAAAAGAAACAGGGAAAATTAAAATTAGGGTAAACAAACAAACAAATAAATAAAGGGATAAACAAGAACTCAGCACTGGTCACTCATAAGAATTTGCATGTTCACAGAGAAGCTGATCACAGGATAACCTCTGGCTCTTCTCAGTATTAGTGGGTTCCAGTACTCATTTGCATTGAGGTAGCTTGTGGCCCCTGAGAAACACTCATAACCTTTTCTTGAGGGAGTTATGAAAGAATGTAAAGTACCCTCACATTAGCATGATCGTTATTTTTTTTTCCTGCGGTGATAATGAGTACTGAAAAATCTCCAAGTAAACTAGTGTTTAGCTAATAAACATGTTAAACTCTTCATATGTCATCTGTTTTTAAAGAATGATCACATAAAGAACCCCAGCGCTTTTTCAACAATCCTGCTGCTTTTGGTAAAAAATGTTAAATATAGCTTGAAATAGTAAATAACCCTCCCTGAGAGATATTAGCAAATTAATTGGTCTGTGAACAAAGAGGCCTTTCTGCACCAGCATGAATGTTGCCTTTATTTTTCTCTCACAAGTATGATTTTAGAAAACAGCTGTAGTGCATGTTGACAAATGACAAAGCGGCAGACGTGGTAAAACACTTTCGGTGACAGCCAAAAGGAGAAAAAAAACCGGGTTGCTGGAGAGGCGAACGGGTTTGAATCCGTCGCTTCCCTAACCTCTTTTCTCCAGTCTCCAGCGAGCGGGGGCCTCACCGCCCCATCCCCCTTCTCCTGGCTCTGGTTACAGCCTTTCGAGTTAAACAAACTTGCTGCAGGAGGGTTGCGATCAGGAGCTCTCGGGCTGGGGCGTCTGTATTTATTAATTTATAGGGCGCCGGCCGCTCCTTTGTATCCAGCAGACGAGGCCCGACTCCCCGGCCTCCGCGGGGTGTGCGGCCCCCGCGTCCGCCCGACCCCCAAAGCCGGCACGTGCAGCGCCCGCCCGCCGCCCGGCCCGCCAAGGGGGCGGAGGCCCTGGCTTTCCTCCTAACCCAGTCCGGGCCAGGAGGAGGAGCAGCGGCGGGAGGCGACAGCTGCCCGGCCTTGGGAGCGCGGCGGAGAGGGGGCTGCAGCGCCCGGGCGCCCGGCCACTCTCGGCGGCGGCGGCGGGGGAGGCGGGGAGCGGCGCGGCCACCCGGGATGTTCCCGGGCACTTCCTGACTGGCTGGCAGCGCGCACCCGGCCCGACTCGCACGCCCCCGGGCCCCTCTCGCTCACCGCTCGCCTCTCGGCTGCTCGCTTGCTCTCTCGCTCGCTCGCTCGCGCGGGCCCGCTCTGCGTCGGCCGCGCCGCGGTGGAGGCGCGCGAGGGGAACGCGGCCCGGGATGAGCTGATTGCGGGAAAAGACACCGCGGACCGACCCCGAGAGGCCGCGAGGAGCCGCAGTTCTGAGTCGTCGCTCTGCCCTTGGATTTGAGACCATGTACGTACGCGTCGCGGTCCTGCCATTGTCTCTGCCCCGGCGCGGGTCTCCGCCCTGGGACGAGGGGCTCCAGCCCACCCGCGCCGCGCGCTGCCCCCACTTCCTGCTCGGCGAAGGTGATCGTCGCGCTGACCACGTGCCGCCTCTCCCTCTCGCCCGCCTCTCCCTGCAGGTCCATTCACATCGTGGCGCTGGGGAACGAGGGGGACGCGTTCCACCAGGACAATCGGCCGTCGGGGCTCATCCGCACTTACCTGGGGAGAAGCCCGCTGGTCTCCGGGGACGAGAGCAGCTTGTTGCTGAACGCGACCAGCACTGTCCCGCGTCCAGTGTTCACTGAGTATCAAGCCAGCGCTTTTGGGAATGTGAAGCTGGTGGTCCACGACTGTCCCGTCTGGGTAAGGGGCGGCCCCTGCTGTGTCGAGGCGAACGGAGCCATTCTTTCACTTTTCCCCTCCTCCTCCCTTCCCCCCCTTCATAAATGTGGAATGTCAGGTTACCTGGATAGAGTTTTCAATCAAGGGGGGGGGGGCCCTGAGGGATTACGGGGGCGGGGGGGGGGGACGAGAGGGAATCTTTGGTCCTTTGTGCCACTGGGTGGGGGCAGGCTGAGCAGAGAACACTCATAGAAGGCAAAACGTCCGAGTGGGAAAGCCTAGCACTTAGTTACATTTCACGCCTGTGGGTTGTCCCTGGGTAGACAGCTGACAGTTGAACATGTCAATCCCTAGGGATCGAGGGATGGGGTCACCACGTTTCACCAGCAGAGAGCAATGTGTTTTCATGACTACCCTGTGGGTGATAGTGTAATATTAGTGTTCTAAAAATAAAGCCCTCTGAAAGCTCAATACGGGCAAAAATACATTACACTGGGGTAGTTCATAAATAGGACCCCTGGAAAGGAGAGGAAGAAACAGCGACTGGGAATTAACTTTAAATGACTCATTTATAGCACTGTCCGTCCCTGAGAATTTTTAATTAGTGTTTTTTTTTAATTGAGGATAATGGACATATAACTGTGTTACTTTTAGCTGTAGAATATATATATTTGATACTGACATATTGCAAAATGATCACCAAGAGATGTCCAGTTAATGTTTTTAATTTTGGTGATCCATATATTTTTGATATATGTCTTTTTTGTTTTTCATCATTCATAAATCAGAAATAATAATGCTGCTTGGAATTTCAAGGAAACTTTTAAATTTGCCATAATTGGAAGAAATTGTAGTAAGGTAGGTACATCCTAGTGTACTTCTGAGTGTTTGAGAAAAGGGGAGAAGAATCTATTCCCTGATACATATATGTTTCCAGGACACCAGAATATTTTATTGTGAATGATTTCATCTAATCTTATTTGAAATTTCTAATTCTTTACTGCTATTGGAATGAAATTGCAGCTAAGGATTATATTTTGTAACAGAAGAAAGTTAAATGACTGAAAAAGAAAACAAGAAAAAGAAGTTATTGCAATGTAATATGTTACATTTAAACATTTATTAAAAAACTGAATTCGGAGTCATAGAAAACTAGTATAGCTTTTAAAGTAAATATATTAAAAATCATATCAAAAATGTATGCAGATTTCCCCTATCCTAGAAAGGCCATTTGCTCACATAAATTTTCAGATGGGGGAAATTATGTTAATAGGCTAAAATGAATGAAAAACAGATCTTTTCAATAACAGGAATGCTAGTTAAGTCCTACTTATTATAGTGAGGATGCTACTCATAAGAAACATTGATAAAGAATTTATTGGCTGGAGTCCATGAAAACAAATAAAGCACCTCTTTTACCTTGGTCATTTCTCGTGAAAGATCTTACCATCTAAAATGTATGTACCAGTAGAACATGTGCTAAGTACATAGAGGAAATAAATGCCTGGAAAATAAAATAAGCCAAATTAGGATGTTAAGATTACCTTTCCTGTTTTTGCTTTGAGCTGTTAACTCTTTCCTGTTTATGTTGTTGATTTAGCAAAAAGCAATTCTTGTGAGCCCATGTATTGTAGTAAATGAAGTCATCCAAATGGATTAAAACAAGCTCTGTATCTGGATTTTTGCCATATACTGATTGCTGTTTGCTGTTCTGTTATGCTAATCACCTTTTGTTTGGTGAACCACTGACCCTGTTTAAGACATTGAGTTTGTAACCAGGTGCAATTTTCTAGAATATATTGGTTTTCAGACAGCTATTATTATAAGGTGCTTTTCTTTTCTGGGTGGTAAGTAAACGCCCATGAGAGATATTAAAGTTGATTGTTTTCAGCAGCTGATATTAACATATATACCGAATCAGAATATTAAAAATAGAGCAGATGGAAGACAGGTTTTGAGATAAAGAGGAGGTGTTATCAGATCTCCACATTGCTACTTAATGGCTGTTTTTCTTAGGAAGGCATTTATTCTCTCTTACCCTTATTTTCCCTGTCTAGAAAATTAACTATATAATGTCTGCTTCCTAGAGCTATGCTGATGAGTAAATTGAGATAGTACATGTAAAGTTCTTAGCATAGAGATTTGTAGTAGGTCCTTCATATGTGGTAGCTACTGTAATTATAATTTTATTACAACCTTAGTATAGCTGTGTGTCACTTTTACTGAGCAGAAGCGGTTTTCCCACTCATTGCTCAAGATTTACACAACTAGATATCTTGGGGTACTAGTACTAGTACTCAGTAGGTACTGTATTTGCAACCTCACAATTGAGTGAAATAAAGTTGTTTTGCTGTAAAAAATTTTTTTAGATTAAAAAAAAAAGATGAGTTCAGTTCTCCAAATGTTGCTCTGAGCCTTGTGTTGCATAACCTCCTAGAGGAAATCCTGGAACTGATTTACAAGGGGTGGGAGAATTTGATTTCCTTCATATTTCTGAAAACTAGTGGAGCATTTTCTCTTTGTTGTATTTTGAGAAGAAATGTAGTGTTGATTCCTTAGAGTTAGAATAAGATAGTTGTACCTCTAGTTTTATCCTTGGGTTGGATCTTTGACATATATACTTGGCACTTTTTAAAATAAATGTGCCTCAGATCATTAGTGAGGCCATTATTTAGTGTGTCTCTCTCTCACCCACCCCCTTTTTGGTGCAGTTATATTATGATTTCATTTCTAGGTCTTTCCTGTTTACCAAAAGTATTCCATAAAAAAGCAGTGAGCTAATACATGCACAATTTTCTTGTGGCCTTACAACCCTGGTTTGAATTAAAAATAAAATTATTCATAGTCTTTATAATTCAATATCACCATGTTAATCCATTTCTCATGACATTTTTTTCTTAAATGTCTCCTGCTTCCTCATACACCTTTGCAGCAATTTAGCGTTTTAAACTATGGAATTTAAGACCAGTTATGTTTGACTTGCTCTCTCAGAGTTGTTCTCTCATTGATTCCACTTCTGTTTAGTTTCTAAAATCCTAGTCATCTGATTTTGTCCTCTTTGGTATATACCTTTTTACACTCATAGATTTTGAACTTGACTATAATAGAAAGAGTTGGAACTGAATGATTTTTTTTGTGGTTTGCTTTGGGATATTAGGGCTGAACTCTGATGGGAAGCTTGCACATTTTCTTGATCTTTGTTCCACTAGATTTTTCCCATTCTTAACTCTATTAAATTCAAGCCTTGGTATTTGTATTCTACAATTTGTCTTTTTTCAGTTCTTTTAATCTTCCTTTAAAATTGTTTTATTTGTCCCATGCTCAATTGACAGCAAAAATTAGAGTATCCCCCAAATCTGCAATTCTTTTGACTCCAAGCGTGTTTTTAGGAAATGGGTGAGTTGAGGAGTCTAGAGAACTGGGAGAGGATTTCCTTGGGTTGGGGTGAGGAGAAACACTCTCCACAGCTGGTGTCACTGTGTAACATTTCTCTAGAATTTTCTATCATAGGATAAAAGTTCTGACGTGCAGATTTTGATTAATTGATTTCAACATAATTAACCCTGTTTTGTACTTATACTTCAAAGTGCAAACTTTTACAGAACAATAGCATTTGGATCTGTTAGTCATGTCTAGTTGTCAGTTTTCTTAATCTAACTTTATTACATCCTAAAAATAGCTACCTAAGGCTACATGAAAGGACAAATGATGATTAATACTTAACTAGAAATGATAAGGTACTCACACATATTTAGCAGTGATATTAAAGATACATAAAGATATTTTCTTACCATCATTATTCACACAAGTATTTTGAAATTTTTTAAAATATCAAGGTACTATAATTTAAAGAATGAGTTATAATAATACTTTTGGCTAAGCCTAAATATAAATATTAAAGGTCGTCCCAAAGTAAAGATTTTTATACTGAAAAAATTTAGTCTATATTTTTAATTACGATGAGTAAAATACATGATTTTAAATACATGAGTAAAGTAGATGATTACAAATATATTCCTTACTATGTTTATACCTTATAATATATCTTGTCTGTTATGGAGTATGTTCCCATAAGACACTCACGTGCACACTCACACACACACACACATTCACACCCTGTAACACATGCAGTCAGTATTGGCCAAAGAATGAATAATGTTGATAAGTATATAAGAGTTTACAAAATACAGATAAACTATATAGAATTCTACAGAATACACGGTATATTACGATACTCCTCTGTCTAACTGGGTCACAGACAATCCTAGGAAGCTCTCTTGTTAACATACTGATGTTCTTATAGCTGTTGCATTGTATTACATTTTTGAAATTGTTAGATGATAAAAATATGGCATAATTTGAAAACAGTACTTATTTTTAAGTACAAATATCTGAAAATATTGCTTTATTTCATCAGACTCTCTTTACCACTTTCTAAATGGCTAGACTGAATGAATAAATAAAAGCTTACAATAAGTGATAGACTTCATAAAATTTTAGCTTTATATTGTCACTTTTAAAAAATTATTTTATGAATTTCTAAAGTTAAAATTTAGGAAAAATTTGAAACTACCATGTTATAGTTTCTTTCATGATTGAGTTGAAGACATGTAAACTAAAGACTGCTGTTTACATTTTGGTTTAGGACATTTTTGACAGCGACTGGTACACCTCTCGAAATCTAATTGGGGGCGCTGATATCATTGTGATCAAATACAATGTAAATGACAAGTTTTCATTCCACGAAGTAAAGGATAATTATATTCCAGTGATTAAAAGAGCATTAAATTCAGTACCTGTGATCATTGCCGCTGTTGGTACCAGACAAAATGGTAAGTATTTCATTTCCTTTTTTCTTATGAGAGCACAGGGACTGTGCTGATTTTAAATAGAGCTATGTTTATTAATGATTAATGCAGGTTTTTTTGAAAAACAAAATGACTGTGAGTTTAAATACCATCTGGTATCTCTTCATCATTGGCTATGATGGTGAGACATCAAAGGACAGTATGGCAAACTTCAGCTGTGATTCCAATAGGAACATACTTGGTTTTTAAAATGCTCTTCTACAAAGTGAAGGGAGCCAGCCATTGTGTTCTTTTGATATAGGAGAGGTATTAGTGACACTCAGCATGGAAAATTGTTTGATAACCTGAACATCTATCGTGTTGGGGAGGATTGACTATCCATGTAAGTTTGAGAACTTGGGGCAGGTTTTTAGATTTATTCAATAAATGAGCAATATACTAACAATTCTGCCTGAGAAAGGATGAATAATTAACCTCCCAGGATTCATTTAGTTCAGTCCTTTTCAGTAGTTGCTACCTAAAAGCCAATCACAATTCACTTAGACTACCTAAAGGCCAAACATGATTCACTTAGACTCAGTGGCATTTTGTACTTCTTAGTTGGTGTTTCCTCAGTAAATCTGTCTTTACATTTTTATTTTTATTCACTTTTTTATATTTTATGGGGAATGGCAAAGTAAAAAAAATTAAATTCACTAAATTTAGAGTGGACCCTAATGCATTTTTATGTGTATACATCCATGCAACCATCACACCATTCAAAACAGGACACCGTTCAAAACAGGACTTATGCAGCACATTGGAAGGCTCTCTCAGCCCCTTCTCAGTTAATAAAACTGTGCCCCTGGAGGTAATTGGTTTTCTAATTTTTTTTTAAAGATTTATTTATTCATACAGAACTGGGGTACAGGCCAGAGCTGTGGGGTGGTGAGAGGCTTCACCAGAGACAGAGTGGGGAGCAGAACAGGCCGACTGACAAACCACACTGCTGAGGGGAGCAGCAGGCGGGTCAGGAGAGGTCTGCTGCGCCATGTGGGTCACCTCTGGGGTCAGGTATTGAACTCGTGCAAAGTAGCTTTAGCTTCTGGGTGCTGTGCTTTAACCCTCTGCAGCGCCAGGGAGGGCCCTAAAGGGTAAATTCTAAGTCTTCTGTTTGGTGGGAATTTATTTCATGGTATGGATGCTTCTCAAACCAGCCATTTCTTATTTTGCTTAGTTTGACAGTTTAGATTTTTGATGCCTTCCCTTCCTCTGTGCTCTGCTCGTTGGGTAAGAGTGGGAGTGGGAGTGGGTGTCTGCCTAGGATCTGAAAGCCTTGCTGCTTCCACTGGGTGTCCAGCTAATCTCCTTCAGTTGTGCGTGGTGGCCTCCCCCTTGCTTCCCTATCACTGAGCAGTAAACTTTCTTGATGTCGCCTCAGTGAGTAGGGGCCCAGCTGCACTCTCAGCATTAGCTTTCCTTTTATTTTTGAGCCTTCTGCCTTCAGCCTCTCAGCTATCCCAAGTCTCGGGGCTGTGAATCTTACCCCTCACTTCTGAGTGTTGCTATATACACACATCTCCCTTCCTCCTTCCCATTCCTCCGTCTTTTCCTCCCCTTCTCCCTCCCTTCACCTCCCTTTTTTCCTCTTTGTTTCATCATTGATAGATTTCAATAGATTTGGGAGAGGAGGTTGCAGTGTGGGTTTTACTTGCCATCTGGAAACTAGAGGTGAATATATTCCATTTTTTCCTCACATGTTGGTCTTCGCCTACGCTATTCTTTCTGATTGGAGCATCCTACTGCTTAACTCCTACCATATCTACATAGAAAATTCATATTTTCCTTTAAATCATTACCTGCTTTGTGAAGTCTTCTCTGGTCCTTCAGGTGGAGTTAATGTTCCCTCTGTTCTCATGGTGATTTTACATAATTTTTTTTGGTACTTTTGTTTTATGTTCTAATTGTCATAGTCATGTCTCTCTTGGCCCAATTGACTATGACTTCTTTTGTGTCTGATTTTATAATCTTAATATGTGATGTATGGTAGAGATTCAGTAGACAGTTGTTCAATAAATGAAGGGTTTTATGAATGATACATACAGGTGAAAAAAAAATCAGTCTTTCTAACAAGGTGAAATTACTCGCCTTATAATTGGTGGCTACAAAGTAATTACAAAGTAAAATTTGGCTATTCAACTCTGACGCATCATTATCACCCCGCCCCCTCCCCAGACCCTTTGCAAATGCATGAAATATTGCTGGATGTTCTCCTGGTGACTGCTTTTTTAGCAGAATTAGTTCAGCAAACATCAGCCTCATCTCTTTCCTCTGTTCCACATGTTTTGACAAGCTTCACTGTGTGTTTATGTCTGCTTCATCATCCTTGGCTCTGAATAAATTTTTTGACTTTTACTAAATATTCAATCTTTCTTTAAAGTAGAATTATTTTCCCAAACATGTTCAGGGTATTCATATCCCTAAGCTCCTGAAAATGGATATCCTGTCTTCTTTCTTTTTGAAGCTCTGATGAAACATCATACATTGCTAGGTCAGAATTTTTAGGCTTCTAAAGCTTTCAAGCACTTTGCTAGAATTACCCTGTAGGTTCTGAAAGCTATTCCCTTGAAAGAGAGGCTATTCATTTGAATGCCAGTATTATGTTGCATTTGCTTAAAAAATAGTAGACATTTTGTGATAACAAAAGGCAACATGTGAGATAGAGACTGTGGTGTCAAATAGGAGTATAGCACTCTCTTTCCGAGTCCCTGTGATTATGAGGTAGGTTCATGGGAGTGAGAACTGAAGAAGCACAACAATCAAACATTACTTTGGGTGCTCTTACTGCTCCTAATGAAATATGCAATGTCAGTTTACTAAACCTATAAATGATTTGTTGATTCTTTGGCTATCCCCAATAAATGATCACTAACCATTTTTTCCTTTAGGGTATGTGTGAACAAAAAGAAATGTCTTTTGTGACACAGAGGAGCTATGGGTTATGGAATAGGAGTTTTGAAGAATGGTTGTCTGTAGGGTGCTTGTGGCTGCACACAGTGGGAAGAACCACACCCTTAGGTTAAACCTGAAATTAGTTTGATTTTTCCTTAAACCAAGATGATTTGTTTAAAATTATTTTCCATTGTGCTCACTTAGTTTTCCACTTGAGTCACTACTGACTTAGCTTTACTTTTGTCCAGAAATAAAATTTAATAAGATGATCTGCCTACCCACTCCATTCCAACAACATAAGGAGAGCTTTGTAGACATAAGAAGGCCTCTGTCTTCAGAAGATTAAAATCACTGTTTAGGAAGGCTTTGTGAAGAAAGCAAAATACCAATGTGTTATTTTTCAAGATAGATTTAATTCTCTATAAAAACCTTATTTGCTCCAAACTTAAGATGATCTTAGAAAAAGCAAGAGAAAAATCACACATTAGCGTTTAGGCATAATTGAAAGAACCCACACTTAATATTAAAATTTCTATATCTGTAGAATTAATAAGTCTTTGTTTCAACTATATATTTTTTGTCTTTGAATGTCCCTTTATTTATCAGATGCACAAGTAATAGTTTTATTATTGTTTCTCCATCTCTTACACACAAGGAGGCAAGTCTCTTAATTTCTCTAAGCCTCTGTAAAACAAGGATATGAATACATGGTATCTGCATTCTGAAAATGTAAGTCATGTGTGTACTCCATAGTTACCTATGTAGTATGCGTATGATTCAATGTCTTTGGTACATGCCACGTATGTACCTACATGTTTTCCATCCTTATTCAGTTCATTGGTAGGAAATTTGGGTGCTGGGAAGAGTTGCTCAAATGTCCTTTCAGAGCCACCGTACTTCTTCCCTCAGTTACCCAGCTTGTTGGCTGCTGATGGTGCAAGCAGAGTCCCATTCCCAGGGTTACCTTTGTGAACCTTAGTATTCAGAACCCTATTTAAATGAGATTGGGAGGCTAGAAGGAGATTGTCCACACGTGTAATTTAGTAAAGTATAGGACCCAACGTGGCTGACATCTTCCATAGGAAGTAAAGCTATTTTCCCCTGAACTGGAGCTGGGAAGAAAGTTCTCCAGAGCTTACTATGGGTTCTAAGTTCTAAGGAGTCGCTAGCCTTTGATTCAGGGAAGTGCATATGGATTTTGCCATGGATATATATTTCAAGCTGCTCTCTATTCTGTTTGTTTCCACACACTTGTTGTTGGAATAACTGATCACTTCTATTTGAGGTCACCACCCTCTGCTGATAGGAGCTGCTTGCCCGAGGTCCCTTTCTCTAATAACTGATTGGTTTAGAGAAACAAAGGCCAGCTGCCTTTCACCATGTTGTGCATCATCTAATCGGCCATCAAAGTGCTGAAGCCCTCCATAGGGTCGCAGTTGTATATGCATTTTTCTGCTCCCCAGTTCTGTTTCCTTTACACCTGAAGAGTTATTCCCAAGTTTGCCCCCAATAAGTTTCTGCACACTAATTTCCATCTCAGACTCTTTTTCCCAGGGAAGCCAACCTACAACAACATGCAACTTGAAAAATGGATATACCCCCCTTAGGATTTGGCTGCCTTTTGAATAGTGACATACCTATGCTGAAGTATGAAAAAATACAAAGCTAGCTGACAAATTCAGTGTTGAATACTTATTTTTAACCTTGTTAAGAAGTATTCAACAGATAGCTTGATCCATCACCTGTCTAGCTTTAGATCTGTACATTGGACAGCTATCACTCTTGGGATATCAAATTTAAAATAAATACTTATTCCTTTAGTTTTTTGATACCTTAATCTTGGGGGAAAGTTAAAGGACCATTAAATTTGGTCTCTGCAATTGGTCTATGCTTTAGAGTCTAATAAATGGCTAGATACTAAAATTACACTTTATAGGAAATCTACAAAGAGAATGGCAATTTTGCAGCCTTAAAGATTCAGGTCGGGCCCTCCCTGGTGGCGCAGCGGGTTAAAGCACAGCACTAAAGAAGTCAAAGCCACTTCCGCATGAGTTCGATCCCCGCCTGCCCCGGAGGTGACCACATGGCGTGGCAGACCTCTCCTGACCCGCCCGCTGCTCCCCTCAGCAGTGTACTTCGTCGATCTGCCTGTTCTGCTCCCCACTCTGTCTCTGGTGAATCCTCTCACCCTCCGCATCTCTGGCCTGGGCCCCAGTTCTGTATGAATAAATAAATCTTTAAAAAAAAAAAAAAAGATTCAGGTCGAATTGAGGAATACTTTGAGGTATACATCGAGAGTGTAAAATCTTCAAACTTGTTGAATATATTTAAAGCTCCTACAAAGAAAAAAAAACCTGCCAACCCTCTGTTTTACATGGTTTCTATAGGCAATCATGTTATCACATTTGTATTGATATTTAAGGGTTGTATTAAGGGAAGAATGCAATTACTTTTTGACTAGCCTCATTATTAGATTAGGTTTAATAACATCCATTCACCTGTTTTAAAATTCTTCTATAAAAGACTGTTTATCCTTCCTGCAGTTTGAGTTTGTTTATTTGGAGGCCCTTTCTGTTATCACTGATACTTTTTATTCAGTCTGGTGGGTAATGCATGTAGTAAATATGCTTGAACTGTGTTCTGGTTCAAGCTCTTAATTTGTTATTTAATATGCAGATTGTCTACCTCTTTTTTTACTGTTTAATTTCAAATCTCTGTTGTTTATATTCGTTTTCTCAGAAGAATTACCTTGCACATGTCCACTGTGTACCTCAGACAGAGGGAGCTGTGTTAGTACAACTGAAGGGATCCAGCTTGCTAAAGAGCTAGGAGCTACCTACCTGGAGCTCCACAGCCTCGATGACTTCTACATAGGAAAGTATTTTGGAGGAGTGGTAAGTGGAAACTCCTGTTACATAAACTGAGTACATATGGCAGGCTGGCTTGTTAGCTGTTTCCAGAACATCAGTCAGAACTTTAGTTCTGAAGAGCATGATTGCTTTTATCCTTGAGAAATAAAATGAGAGTAAAGATTTTTATCAGAGTAACAGAAAAATAAATAAGTAAAATTATTTTTCTCCCCAAATGAAACACTTCCTGTTGTCTAATTTGATGTTTTCCAGTTTCCCATTTGGTGATACTTTACTGTTCTTTTTTTGTACATATCAAAAGCACATTGACTTATCAAACTTGTATTGTCAGTTTTAATGGCAATCCAAGTTCGACAAGCTTTCAAACCAGTGGGCCTGGAAATTTTCTTTTATTTATATCTGTTACTTGAAAGAATCATGTTTCTCCTTTTATATGTACTTTGGCAAGATTTCATATACTCCTGATCTTGGTGGACCTCAAAGATAGCAAATGGAACTATTTATACAAGTAGCTTTTTTGTTGGCTCAGTGAGAAACTAGGGTATGCTTGCTCTGTTGTAGTGGCATTTATTGGATCCTGTAAGTATTTGCAGCACCTAACCTGATGTTAGGACTGCATGGTCCTTGGGCAATGCGTAGTTGTATCATTTAAGTATTTACTGACTTTGAACCTGTTTTTCCAGTTTTTTAAGAAGTGACTCCTCTCAGTAAACAAATCTAGTAAATGTTTTAAGAGATGTAATCCAAAGCAAACTCTACATTAATTAGGACTCCTTTGGGCTTCTCCATTAGTTCTCCACCTCTTTATTGAGTACTCTTCCGGAAATACCTCCATATCTATTATATAAACTCATACTGAGATGTTGAGATTCCCACAGATGGCTCTAAAAATGTTTTATTCTGAACTTAAAAACTGAGTAAAATAAGAAATAATTCTGATTTTTATCAAATAGAAATGCTTATTATGTACCTACAAATATAAAGGTGAATTAATGATACAGTGTTAAGGGAAGATGTACTTACCATATAGATATCATCAATTACTATGAGAAATGTTTGCCTTACTTATATGTAGTTAAAAGTAGTGGTGGGTCGAAAAGTAGAGAGGGGTAGATTCTAATTTTTTGATTAAGATTATATTATTATAATCTTATATTCGCATTTTTTAAAATCCATCCTTAAGTTGGTCTAAGGATTTTGAATTTTCCTGAAATACCCAGGGAGTTGGGCAACAAAGCTAGTGTGGATTCTTTGGTTGCAGAAAAGCTATAGTGCTATTGGGCCTGAGGTCTTCTTGTTCCCCATTCCAGGGCCTGAAATTCTCAGGGTCACTCTTCCCACCTTCCAGTTTACATTTTCTTTTCTCTCTCGGTTCCCTCTATTTCTTTTGTTGCTAACACTTGGTTTGCATGTAGGGTTTGGAGGTATGGTGAGGATTAGAGAAAGAGTCAAAGTAGGAAGAAAAACATGGTGATTTTTACTTACATCACGACAGTGAAGATAAGAAGAAAAAATTAGAATGAGCTCTTTTCAGACTCTTGAATACTTAAGTATTAACTGGCATCTTAAGAGTAAAAATTAGTGGCATTTGCAAGAACATTAGCAGAGATGATATGTCAGATTAAAAGGAACGTTTAAAATCTGTGTTTAAGAGTGGTATTACCGTTAGACCCATACAAAAGCAAGGTACTTGCCCCCATCTTTAGAGAGGCCCTGTGGTGCTCCTCCGGTTGCACCCCAACCCACAGGACACAAGTTAGAGCCAAGGGGTTGTGCTTATCAGTGCTCATAGCCCCTTCTAGACCTTAGCCATCCAATATGGTAGTATGGTAGCTACCAGCCACATGTAGCTGTTTATATTTACATTATTTTAAAAAATTCCTTTCTCAGGTGCACTAGCCACATTTTAATTACTCAATAGATGCATGTGGCTAGCGGTTCACCATTGATTACACATATGTTACAAAACATTTTGATCAAGGCAGATCAGAAAGTTCTATTGAACTGGATTGTCACCATGCATCCAAACCGAGGACCCTAGAATTCACCTACCTGCTAGCTGGTACTACATCTGTTTCCTTTCTTTGGTCTAGCCTTCTGAACTGCTGGTGTGTACAGTGTTAGGCCTGAGAGGTGACTGCTTATGAGGAATGGGTGGGGGGAGTGACTGGAACATAGACGTGTTGGCATGGATGTCCTTCTGATGTCCAAATCTCCATGAAGCACGGGATGGTAGGGCGGTGGTGGGGCATAGCAGTTAGGGGTCGGGTCAGCTCTCTCTCTCTGTGTTACATGAAACTTAGAGGAAGAGTCTTAAGAATCTGAAAATTATACATCTCAAGCTAGCATCAAGGCTTTTATGATGATGTATTTGTCAGAGCTAGAAGATAAAAACCTTTTTTTTCTTTAAGGTTTATTTATGCATACAGAACTGGGGTATAGGCCAGACGTGCAGGGGCAGTGAGAGGATTCACCAGACACAGAGTGGGGAGCTGAACAGGCAGATTGATGAAGTACACTGCTGAGGGAAGCAGCTGGCAGGTCAGGAGAGGTCTGCTGTGCCATGTTGATCACCTCTGTGGCTGGAGATCCAAGTCTCACTGAAGTGGCTGTGGCTTCTTGCAGTGCTGCGTCCTAACCCTTTGCACCACCAGGGAGGGCCAGGATAAAATATCTCTTATAGAACAATTTGGTTTTGTGATTTACCTCATTTAAGTATTTGCATATGTGGTACATACCTTCCTTTGCACTTTTGCCCCAGGCCTCACAATATAAGGAATAAGCCTTCAGCAATGAAGAATTTTAGCATGTGAAATAAAGTATATCTTTCAAATTAACTTACTTAGTCAACAGAAAAAATTAACATTGCACATGTGAGTGTCCGTAGTTGAAGTGATCATCTGTTGACAGAAAGCCAGATCTCTTTCTAGCTTGAATTTTGTTGATATGAACTGCTATAGTTGCCCAATGAAACGGTTATTGACAATCATATGATAGTGCTGCTTGACTTTAATTATTCAAGAGAATAAACAGTTTTCTTCTGGAAGGATTAGTTTGTTTACACAGGGCACCATCTGTTTCAATTGGTACATTTTTTTAATTAAAAATTATTTAGAGTGGTTTACAAAGGCATAGATGGTACTGGCGTTAAAATATTTGGCAAATGTGATTTGGGGGTTCAATCATGGCAGATATATAATTTTGTCAGAGCTTTAATGAAAATTTGACTCATGTTTTTTAGTTGGAGTATTTTATGATTCAAGCCTTAAATCAGAAGACAAGTGAAAAAATGAAGAAAAGGAAAATGAGCAGCTCATTTCATGGAATTAGACCACCTCAACTTGAACAACCAGGTGCATTTACTCACTGATCCTTAGACACTCAGTTAATATTAGCTGTAGATCATTTCTCCAGTCTTAGAGCATTTGTTCTCAAATTTAAATTTGTTCAGAGCTCACCTGCCATGCTGATTGCCATGCTGATTCAGTAAATCTGAGATGGTGTCCAGAATCTATGTTCTAAATAAAAGCTTCTTTTCAGAATCACGGAGTGATTCTGAAGCAAGTGGAACTTATACCATATTTGAGGAATACTGAGTTAATAGCTGGTGCCTTATTGACTCCTCAGAATGTGAAAGTGGTCAAGAGCTGTTACAAATTAAAGTCTGGGGAGATGAAATGCATGAAGGAATGTGAATAAAAACTCGGGAAAATATAAATTATTATTTAATGTTTTAGAAACTTTTTTAAAATGTGTATATAAAGGCCATAAAAATACATACACTTGGCTTTGAACTTCCTAGCATACAAAGTGAAAGGGGAGACACAGTTTGTTTCATTGCAAATCTTGAGGCTTAAATACTTTCTGGATATGAAGATGGGTGGGGTATAGCCAAATCAGTAACATGAACATTTTCTAGTCCTTATTAATCAAGAAGAAAAAACATACCTGTTCCCAAAAGAAAGCAAAGCATTTTTTGTTACCTAGTACTAAAAGAAATTTCTTGTGTGTGTTTTCCTTGGGGCACCCCAGGTGTCTAAAGGACAGGACCTTCTAGACTGTCCGTCAGCATCCCATCTCAGCCATCACAGGGCTCTGTGTCTTGTACTCTTCTGTACAGAGCTGTGGATATCACACGGAATGTAACCTGGGCCCAGGTTGATACAAGTCTGGGTACACTTAGTTCTGGTGTTGACTTGTTTCAAGGACAGATCATGGGCTCTGGGACAGATCATGGGCTCTGGGCATGTGGAGTTCAGATTGTTCTCAGTCTTTAAGGTTCTGTGAAGGTGCTTCAGGCTGGAGGGGCAGGAGGGGGTGTGCAGAGCAGAAGCAGCCTAGCCCCTAAAGTACCTTGTTATTGTTTGCTTTATGGACTCAAGTTTTGCTTTAAAATAAAGAATATTCATTGGTAAAGAAATCTGTATTCCACTAATCAAGTAATCCTTTGCTTTACTGATAATACTTTCCTCAACTCAGCTTTGGATATAAGTGAACACACATTTTATTATATAATTAAGGGCTATGATGAAGGCCCAGGATGTGGTCTTGTATGATTATTCAGAACTGATCGGGGGCTAATCTCAATCAAACTAGGAAATGAAAGATTACATTCTCTTTCAGGAATTACAAGTCTCTGAGGTGTGCTGAGGGGAATATACTTGTTCTGGGGAAATGCTGTTTTAAGCAAAAGAAAGAAACACTAACCTTAGAATTACAATAAAGTAATCAAGATAGTTTCAAACAGTAGAGTCCAAGATCCCCGCTCTGGCTTTGAGAGGCTGAGTTCTACATTTAGCTCTCCACCCCACTTCAGTCCTAGGGAGAAAAGACTTCAGATGTAAGACTGGGCTTTTCAGAACTTAAAATTTTTATATTTTTAAAAATCATTTAAAACTAAAGAATGATGACACTAAACTTTAATGATGAAAGAAGTATTTTATTTTGGAACACACAAATAATGTTTGGAACACACAAAATGTTATTTATTGGCCTTTATGACATGAATAGGCTTTTCATTTGGACTATAAAAATAGGTAGCATTGCTGTGTTTCTGTGCTGCGAAACTACACTTTCCAGAATATTAGTTTGTGTATGTTTCTAACTAGATTATGCTCTACAAAATTGCTATTTTTGTACATCAAAATAACCAGATAGTAATTGCACATTATTTATCATATAACATTAAAAAATAGTGTTTACTGTATTTAACATAAAGCTGAAATGATTAAGTCTGCAGACCTGAAGACTCGTTTATTATTTTTATTTTTTTTATTGAAACAGAAAAAATGCCCGTCTTAAAGGCCGAGGCCTCGCATTATAATTCCGATTTAAACAACTTGCTGTTCTGCTGCCAGTGTGTGGATGTGGTATTCTACAACCCAGATTTGAAGGATGTCGTGGAGGCCCACAAGATTGTACTCTGTGCCGTAAGCCACGTTTTCATGCTGCTTTTCAATGTGAAGAGTCCTGCAGATATTCAGGATTCCAGCATCATCCGGACTACCCAGGATCTCTTTGCTATAAACCGAGATGCTGCCTTTCCAGGTGCTGGCCAGGAGTCCACAGGCAACCCCCCGTTGCGAGTCATTGTGAAAGATGCCATCTTCTGCTCCTGCTTATCAGACATTCTGCGCTTCATTTATTCAGGTATCTTGTCAAATGGTTCTGGTCCATGCTCGTAAGCTCCCAAATGAAGTATTCCTGTCATCTAGGCTATACTCATTAATTTTACACCTGTCTTCCTAGCACTGGAGAAGACCATACATGAAATCATATTTGCTTTATGTTCAGGAATTCATTCAAGCTTCCATTTTCCTTCTAAGTTTCCTTGCTTTGATTTTTAATCTACTCGTAAAAAAAAAAATTGCTTTTCAGGGGTTACTCATTTGCATTATGAAAAGTAGATGTAACATTTCCATGTGTCTGTTATGAAATTCTTCAACCCTGAGAATTTCACACCTGAGCAAGTATATTTTTAAAAAAATAAAAAATCCCATAATGTGAAAATATATGAACCTACTTAACTAGGTGAGAGAAAAAAAAATTCCATCTGTATGTGAAAATAAGTATCTGTAACTTAAAACCTAGCTTATTCACTCTTCTATTTGACTCACAGATTTTGGAGGGAATTGAGGAGAAAAATTTGTATTCTGTTTAGGAACTAGAAACCATATATAAAGGCTGAGCTCTTACCAAGGTTAGCTATGGCAGGCATTTTTCTTATAGCGTGCCCTTATGTTTTTGAGATTTTATTAATCATTTTTCTTTTACCCTTTTACAATCAGTAACAAATGTATTCTATAGAGTCAAAATTTAAGCAAATGAATAAAGACCTCACATCCAATTATTCTATCTAAGAATGAAAATAATTGCATGTAAAGTGATTTTTTATTTTTTTTAAATGATTTATTTATGCATACAAGACCTGGGGCAAAGGCCAGAGGTGCAGGGGGTAAGAAGACTTACCAAAGACTGTGGGGAACGGAACAGGATTGAATGATTTTTTTCTTTTTTCTTTTTTTTTTTTTTTTAAAGATTTATTTATTTATTCATACAGAACTGGGGTACAGGACAGAGGCTCAGGGGTGGCGAGAGGCTTCACCAGAGACAGAGTGGGGAACAGAACAGGCAGATCGACAAAGTACACTGCTGAGGGGAGCAACAGGCGGGTCAGGAAAGGTCTGCCACGCCATGTGGTCACCTCCGGGGCAGGCGGGAATCGAACTTATGCAGAAGTGGTGTTGGCTTCTCAGTGCTGTGCTTTAACCCGCTGCGCCACCAGGGAGGGCCTGAATGATTTTTTTCAATAAATATCTAAATATACATTTCTGAGAACTCTCTTTTTAAGTTTTCTTTTTTCCACTTGTAATTGTATGCTGATGGAATATTAGTTTAAGGTCATTTCTCTGGAATGTGTCTGAAGAAGTATTTAAAATCTGTTTTTATAATTTAGAATGAAGAATGGATAAAAGGTTAAAGCTCTACAAATAGAAAAAAAGTATCTCATATAAGTAAATTTTTGGTAGCCTTTGGTTGAAATGATTGATGATAAAAATAAGATTTTTAACATAATTTGGTTGAGGTTATTTAATTTTATAAGTTAAGGTAAAAATTACTGGTTTTGAAAAGCACAATTACAGTATGAAGATGTAAGTGCATTAAAGAAATATATGTGTATTAGTGTGTGTGTGTGTGTCTCTCTCTCTATATATACACATATATATAAATAAAAATGTATGTGTATAGAAAGAGAAGGATTCTACCCTCTTATGTGTTGTTAGGTCTTAAACCCACTGTTCAGTGAATGTTGGTGTGGAAAAAGGCTCAGTAACCTTTCCTGCAGAGTACATAGTACCTTTTAATAGCTTAGCAGGTTTTCTGTGTCTGCTGAATTAATAAAAGATTCTGGTAGCTGCAAATCATCATGTGAATTAGGTACACTAAAGACTTCATTTGTAACTACAGGTTTTTAATCCTTGAATTTAGAATCTCACAATTCAGAATTTAAGGCCAATTTTGAAAAATCAAAATGTTTACATGTTAAAAAAAATAGTGTCATGAGTGATATATTTAGAGAACTCAGAAGAAAATGCTTGGTTCTTTGTTTCAATGATTATACTGTAGGAATTATGACTAATTCAGCACCTTTCTCACTCAAGGATCCATTGAATACTTTCAAAAGCACATGAACACTTTGAGGTCAGTTAGATCCTCTTCAGTGTGGCAGCAGTGAAATAACTAAATGGATCTCCAGTGACAAAACTTGTGTAACTTCCTCCTAAGCCGTGTTTTGTTTTTTTTTTTATTAAATTGCAAAATTAATACATGCAGGTGGAATAAAAAAGGAAAGGAAAAGAAAAGAAAAATTATCTTTTTACCCCACTGCCTTCTTCAGAGTCACTTACCAATAGGTGATTTTTACATGTTCGCTCTAATGCTCTTTGAAATAAATAAATGTATTGGGAAATTTGCATTACTGAAAACATAACCCTTATAGTGGCTACCCTTGTAGTGGCTATTTTATGGGAACCACAGGTAATTTCCCACAGCTGGAGCACAAAGTGGGAAGTGATGGCTGGAAGGAAATGAGACTAGACAGGTTGGTGGGAACAGTTTCTGCTGTTCTTGTAAGCTGTTCTAGAATTTTAAGCATGATCAAGCTGGATTTTAGAAAGCTTGTCTTTAGTGATAGTGGGAGGATGGAACAGAGCAAGCAAGACAGCAAGGAGGCCCCATCATCCAGGCCCCCAGTCTCAGAAATGCCAGCATTCTGACAGTTTGTGGTCAATGTTGCAGCTTGCCCATCAACAGGACAAGGCTTTTCAAGCCTTAAAGTGTACAGAGGTCATTTGGCATTTTGCTACTGTGTAGATTCTGATTCAGTAGAACCAGGGTGGGGCTTGACATTCTGCAATTCGAGCAGTCTCCCAGGTGATGCTAATGTTCAGCCTAGAGAGCTGCAATGCCTGTTCTTGGCAGAACTAGGAACCAGCCACAGCCAGTGAATTAGGGCCTGGGATTTAGAGTAGAGATCACAGAGGATCTGGTTATCAGACTTTGTCAGCTACAACGCTTACTGGTGCAGAGCTTTGTGGAGCCGGGGTTGTTGGTGTCCTGTTGTAGTCTCTGCCCGATGTTGAAAAGAGAGGATGCATAGCAGCTGGGTGGAAACTATTGAATAAGTGAACCCGGGAATAGTGATTTGATGAGCATGATGGTGAGGAGAGCTTGCTGAGTTGCAAGTCCTTGACTAGCTCAGGGCAGGGGCTTCCTGCTGTTTTTGAGCTGTTGCATTTGTGCTCTGATGACTCCTTGTATGTCTTGTCTGAGGCAAGAGGTGGTCTCAGGTAGGCCATGGCCTGAGGCTATAGAGAGACCTGCTGCCAGGTAAGGAGGAGGGAAAAGAAATGCTTCCTGGGGTAATTCTAGCTATTTTATAGGGCATAACCTCAGACTCAAGTAAAAGTTATCTTTAAATTATTATTTTTTTAAAATGGCAGTTGTATTCACACCATAAAAGCAATTTTGAAAATGCTGGTAATTTATTGAGAGAAAAAAATCAACTAGATTGCCACTCTTGAGTCTCAACATTTATTGATGTTTCATGGCTAGGCATTGTTTTTTGGGAAAAAAAAATTATCAACAAACAAAAAACTTCAACCTGCATGTTTTTCCTCAATAAAGACTCCAAGTGGTAGGGTGAGGAGGTTTATATTTCTTGTCATTAAACATGTTATAACTTTGGAACAGAGCACAAATTTTAAAACCCAGTATTAAGATGGTTTCCTTGCAGAAGTCCTGGCCTACCCCAGCAGTTACATTAGGGAGCCGCACGAGACAGGGGCTGTTTGTGCTGGTGCGTGAAGCAGAGGCAGAAGCCGCAACGTGGCACCTTGGCCATAGTTGCCCTGAGCAAACATGGACTGAAAAAGCATAGTCAACCTGCCTCTTGCCTCTTGCCTCAGTTTTAATATACCAAATGACAAAGAGTGCCTTAATTCTTTTCAGATAACACATTTTTTGTAAAATCTCTTAAGCATTTGGTCTTTTGTATGTATTATGTCAACATGGACCCATGGGTCTTCATTTGGAAAGCCTCGTTTAATAGTGTGGTTAGCATTTCCCACCTCTCTGTATTCAGCCTGTTTTCCTACGCAAATTTCTGAGTAAATAGATACAGTAAAAGTTTGTTTTGTACATGCTAATTTTCTACTAGATAATGAATAATAATGCTACAGGGGAAAGAGTAGTTTGAAAAGGAGACTGGTAGTTTCCTGGTCTTTATGGAGTAATCCTTAAATGGAGTTTACTTGTAACATTCTTATAATACTAGATATAGTCTGAGGTTTGTAAATTCCACAGTCACACATCTCAGATGGTTAAGGGTTGAAATATTTGTAAGAGCCTCAAGAATTTAGCTTCGAGCTCTTCCTGCCACAGATGGCTCTTAGAATTTCACATCACTTGTTGAAATGCTTCCAGAGTAAATGAGAATGTGGAAACAAGCTTTCATCTTCAGTTTGCACAGTATTCTCCAGCTTTTGGAATGATTCAGTGGCATGCTCTTTTCTGCACTGCATTTGAAAACACAGCTTAGTACACATGAGTACACCATGCTCTCTAAGAGTCAAAGTAAATAAATCTCGAGAAAGTAGTAAAGAAACTCCTAGTCAGTTATGCAAGATGAGTAAATTCTAGAGATCTGTTGTATGACATTGTGCCACCTGTTAATAGTACTGCACTGTATACTTACAATTCTGTTAAGGCACTCACATTAAATGTTCTTCTCATAATATGAAAAAAAGAAAACCCCAGTCTGAGGATTACTGCTTTATTAGGAGTGTTAAAGCTGATTTGATTAGCACTTCAAATTATGAAAACACTCATTAGAGTGCCCTTTTGAACTATTCTTTTATTCTGTTATAGGGTTTTATATGTCTGTTCTCAAACAGATCTGTAGCTTGTTCCTGAAAGCTACCTGCTACTAATCCCATATATGTAGATTTGAAGTTTGCTTGCTTTCCAGTAATTTTCTGAATGGAGTTATTGTGTGCTTTTTAGTTCATGTAATTTTACTTTTAAGAATAATATCCATGCTTTCCTTTAGCATGCGTAAGTGTGGACAGTCAAAAATGCTTACACCTATCCTACCAAGGTCTAAGAGCCGAGGCCATCAATACTAAGTAAACATTAGAATCATCTGGAATTCTTTAAAATTTATGTCAGGGCCCCAGCTCCAGAAGTTCTAATTAATCTATGGATGAGACCTTCTCTAGTAAAAAATCTCCCAGTAAATTGAAGGCACAGAGTGGGGAATTTCTGGCCTCCAGTAAATTTTCTTGATCAAAAACTCTTGACGAAGATGTAAAAGTCAAAGTGTTTTTTATTTTATAACTCCTGATGTTTCGGCACAAATTTTACTGTCTGTGTGCACATGGAAATTTTTCTGGAGAGATGATCCAAAGAATTTAACAGATAGTGATAGTGGATGTGATCTGTAAGTTAAAAACCATTCATGAAGGAAGAGAAGAACCAAGTAATGTAGACCACACAGTTTTAGATATTTGAGAAGGAAGGGGAGCTAACAGTGAAAACAGCAAAACAGCTTTCAAAGATAGGAGAAACAGAGGTATATTGGAGCAGCTCATGAAAGCCGACTGTTTATTTCTCCCGAAATCTGGATTCTGCCATGTCATGATGACAGCTTGAATTCAAGCATGATGGAAGTATTTACAAGACAGAAACAGTAAATGCTACAAATCAGGAAAGTCCTCCCCCTTCCTTTCATCCCAGGGCACGTTGCAGTAATCATGAAGGCCAGGCCAGAAATTCCAAAGATCTTTAAGATCGCAGGTGCTGCAGGACTGTCTCCCCAAGAAACACTAAATTACCCATCTGACTTCAAATTAGCTTCAACATTTTTCTGTCATTACAAAGATATGCATTTGGGAAAGGAGAATTAATAAACTGTAGAAATGATTTCTGAATGTCTAGTGTTTGGTAAAGAAGAATAAAAGATGAGTAAAGAGCAAATATTGATATCTGATAAGAGATTTATCTTCCTGCTTTAGTAGAGAAACATCACACATATTCATTTGTTTGCAGGTGCTTTTCAGTGGGAAGAATTGGAAGAAGATATCAGGAAGAAATTGAAAGATTCTGGGGATGTTTCAGATGTTATTGAGAAAGTTAAATGCATTTTGAAAACACCAGGAAAGGTAAATTAGTTTACTGCAAGTTGGTTCACTTTCTTTTCATGTAGTTTCTCTGAACTACATGTAACTGATAGATGTCGATGAAAATAATGCTGTCATGAGAAGAATCAATAATATATATTTTCTTTAAGAATATTTTGCCATTTAACTATTATAAACATAAATATCATTTATTTCGCACTGACTTACATTTTAACTCATATAAGAATTGAATTGTGTGTGAGTCCTGTCTTTAAAATGTTGATTTATGAATTTCATCTTGGTAACATCCCCACAAACCTCTGCGAATATGCAATCTATGTCAAGAATGAAGAGCTGTTAAATTTGTCTAGTTTCAGTTAAGCTTCTTCAAGGGGGTGCTTTCTCATTCATCAAAGATTAAGGACAAATAGGATTCAGGGCACATCTATGTCTTTTGCAAGCATTCTGAGAAATCTGTGATCAGATGGATAGTTAAAGATCTCATCTAGTAAAGGCTCTGAGTTATATATTAAGTTCAAAGACTATAAAAGTACAGACTTGGTACATGTTCATAAACTTAGACTTGTTAAAATTCTAGTAACTTAGATTGTACAGAGTCTGTGTATGAGAGATTTAAAAAATTTTTATTAAATTTTAGGATGACCACATTGCAAAATTTAGCCAGTATATTCTTACTTGAGATTCTGTGGTAAACAAATTGGATACAGTAGATAAAAAGGTAAGTTGTGTGCAATGACCAGGAGCATCGAGGAGAAGATACACATTTTTTCTGAATTAAAAAATAAGTTTTTCACCATGTACTTTATTAATTAGCGAGGAAATAAGCGGGTTGTTATGTGTAAACACAGTTTACAAGGCATTTGTATGAGGTTGGACTGTTATCCATTTCCTGTTAACAGAAACCCCTGAAAATTTAGACCTCACAGCTTCTCAGCCACAGCGTGGAGTTTTTCTCTCTCCAGGTCACTGGCTGCAGTGCATGCTGCAGAATGCAGGGCCGCTCACTGACACATAGCACATATCAGTGAGTTCCCATGAAAGCTGTGGTCGTAGGGAGGTGCCATCGAGAAGATGGTCATTGTTTCTTTCATCGGTTAGTCCACTTTTCCACCTTGTCTAACCAGCCCACATATATTATCACACACTCTATAATTCCCCTTGTTTTTTTTTTTCCTTATAGATTAATTGCCTAAGGAATTGCAAGACATATCAAGCCAGAAAACCTCTGTGGTTTTATAACACTTCCCTCAAGTTTTTCCTTAATAAACCCATGCTTGCTGATGTTGTCTTCGAAATACAAGGTACAGTTCAATTTTCACAACTTCATGATCCTTTTCCCCATTTTCTTATCTAAACTTTCTATTTCAGGATTGAGTGTTTGAATGAAGAAATGACTTCTCTATTGTAGGACACAGACTAGCACTTTCTGAATTTCAACAGCATCTTCAAGGAGAATTAAGCATTTTAGTAGAATTATTAGAATAAGAAAAGAATTGTCCTTAGATTCCCCCTCCCTGCTTACCTTATGCTTCATTTACTTTTAGGGGCTGGAAAAGGATGGAGTGATCTTTAATGTGCCCATTATGTAGGTTCATTTGCTTAGTTTTTGAATCATGTAAAATCAGCCTCTTTAATCTATTACCATTAGCTTATTTTATTCAACTCTTTTCCTTTCTATTTGAGCAAAAGGAAGTATCCATGCTCCGAGAGTCATGCCTGGCTTACATCAGGCATCCATAGAGATTGCTGCTTATTCCTAACAGGGAAGTATCACCAAAACAATTGCGAGCTGCTTTTTTAATAGCTGTGTAAAAGAAAAAAAAAAATTAATGTTACCTAATTTTAATGAAGATGAGCTGTTTTATGCCCTTTATTGATTAATTGCCTGGGTAATTTTGTCACTAATATATTAAAGGTGTAATCTTAAAATGAGTCAAACTCCCTATACTTATAGAAGAAGTTAACAGGGGTTGTTTTTATCTATTAAGTAGAATTTCATGTGGGCTATTACTAAGAGAAAGGCATAATTTGAAGAGGATGGTAGAAATGTATTGCAGCCAGAAATCATATTTTCCCTGAAAGATTAATTTTTATCTTTATTTTTGACCACTTGCCAAGACAGTGAATTGGAAATATTCCAAAGTGCTTTCTGATATTCTATCTATCTGCATTGTGAGCTTGGGACACTGACACTGAGACAATAAGAGTGACTTTGAAACATATTTAAATAATTTGGAAAAAGGAAACCTACCAAGAGACCAAATTTGCTTATAATTTACGTAGGAATAATGAACAACTTTGATAGCAAACATTTTGTTAGTGTGGCCAGCTGAAAAGTTTCTCAAAGGCAATGCAACCATGAAAATACTTGTTATCTTAAGAGAAAAGAAATAAAGTTATGTTTATGAGAAAGAATTCTTTCTCTTCATAATCTCTTACTTTTCTTCCACAATTCTGCTAATGAATTTTGCTCATGACCCCACCAACAGCTGAAAACAGTTGTATGCTTTGTGGCTTCTGTAGTCTTTGCAGTCTCCCCAGCTGAAAACCTGGGACTGTTTAATTTTGATTGTCTTCAAACTTTCTTTAAGAAAAGTTTCTTGAAAGTCTAGCAGTTAAATACTACAGAGGAAAGATACTTAGGCCTTGACATTTTCAAAGAGCATGTTTATCTTCTAGCTGGAAAATTGATGTTGTACCCTGCCCTTTAAGTAGAAAATTCCAAGTCCACCCTCCCATTTTCTTCAGCTCCCCCCCCCATTGCTACTTAGCACATAAACACAACATTTTGTTCCTCTGCATACTGTGCGCATTGTTTATATAATCACACAATTTATGTACAACTTTTAAAATGTTACTACACTGAGGAATTTATTGCAGTTTCACCATGGAGTTTAGGCTCTTCAGTGAGCAGCAAAGGAGGTTGCTTCACAAGGGGGCAGTTTCCTTCTTGTCTGTCCAGGGTGGTTTCTCCAGCACCTGCACAGTTGCCGTCTACATGCTTCATCATGTGTCACATATTTGGAAAATGGAGCCAAATCCTGCCCAGGGGTGGAGATTGTAGTAGCATAATGAATCCCTTTTCTGTGCAGCCTCATTCTCTGGCTCAGACCAGTTTGGACGCAAGGCCCTGCAGCTTCTTTATCTAATTACAAGGGTCAGCTATGACAACAGCCCAAGAAATGCATATGTTGCAGGAAAGCTTGTTGATAGAAACAACGGGTTAGAAAAACTTATGGTAGGGGCTTTCCAGACACTTCACTACCCTGTCTCAGTAGCAGTCTGAAAAGGTAAGAAGCAGAAGTGGATGTTTTCTTTTGTGGCATTGTCATTATTTTCCAAATTAAATTCTGAGCCTGAAATGGGCTCTAAATATGCTTTAAGTTAGTGATTGTTCTTGCTGGGTTGTTTCCACATCATCAATGGAAAACTTCCTGTCAGAATTCCAAGGTTCCTTATCAAATTCCTTTTTTATCTACTGTCTATGTGGTATTTTTGGCCCATCTGAAATCCCTCTGCCCAATTCAGATGATAGGTTATCCATTTTGTGTAAGCTATACTTTTCATTTTCCTTGTCTGATTTTCAAAGTACTCCACTTATCAAAACCTTAAAATTACAAGTAGAATTGTGTTACCTGTTTGAATTTGTTGTTAATAGCTATGAACAAATATATATGGCGCTGTCCATATATGTCCAAACTGGCTGTCCCCCAGACACTATTACTGTAACAGGATGGCGTGAAGCCCAAAGCAAAGAGACAGAAAGGGAGACAGTGGAGGTGGGGGATGTCTGTCTGCTGACGGTGGTGCATGCTTGGCTTCTCCCCGTCCCTGTGGGAGGGATGTCTGTGCAATCACTGTGCCAGGCACTGAGCTTGGCTCCTGAGGGATTATTGGCATTTGAAAAAGCCACTGGGCTTAGATGGAACTCTTCTAAGAGCCAGAGGTTTTGTTTGGGCTTAAGGAGGGTGAAGAATCCAACAAATGTGAATGTTTTATAGCAGAATATATGACCCAGAGAAGTATGAGATTTCAGGGATGCTGAGGTGAGGATTCTCTAGCAAGCAGAGCAAGTTGCTAACGGAGTTACTTTTTACTTTTTGGAAGAGAGCAACTTTGTCACTCACTCTGGCTGTGGTGCCTTTTACCAAACTAAAAGCTGACAGCTCTAAAGCAGGAGTAGCTTTATGTTTGTCATCTTCATATCTTCAGTACCAAACACAGTAGGGCACCATCATCTTCGCTGAGTTGATTTAGACTGAGCTGCAGGCCCTCTGTGGATTCATAGTTTCCTCATGGAGAGGTGAGAACTGCTGTGCACTCCCGAGCCCAGGCCACAAGTGTCCCATCTGGTGTTACCTTGCTGTGGTGGAGCAGTAGCTGGCAGCTTATTAGCAAGCTTTCACTACAGAGTCAGTTTAGCTTAATGAACCCTGGGGGTATGAGCTGAGAAAACTTTAAAATTTAAAGTAGTTCTGGCTTTCCCCGAAGTGGACTATGTTCATTTAGTTGAGAAAGGTTCCCTGGGGAGGTACCATGCTGGCGAGATAGCAAGAAGCTAGGTTATCCCCTTCCAAATTTTCCAAAAGATCTAAGACATTCCACTAGAGAAACTTTCTCCCTTCCTGCTATGATCTGTGAACTGCCTAGGCAAGGATAGTTTACTTCTCAGTTTCCTGTTTTCTGATAAGGAAGTCTGGCCAGGATTGTTTGGCCAAGAAAGTGTTACTTTCTGGGTAGCACATGGGTAGGAGTGGGTGGCATTTAAAGGCAACTGGAAAAGATAAATGTTTTGGTACAAAAACATGAAAATAAAATATTTAATTTAGTGTTTCTATCTTCAGGAAAAATAAACTAAGTTACAAATAGTTGCCTGACTTTCAAATGGTTGGTTGCAAAGCCAACTTTGAACTCTATTTTTCAATGAAAACTAAGTCTCTTGATATTGCCAGGTTTTTATACATCCATTTAGCTGTGCCTACTGTAGTACCACTCTAACTAGAAGGAAAATTATTGAAGTAATAATTCTGCAGATTTAGCTCTGTTTCCCTTTTGAACCTTACAGGTACGACAGTGCCAGCCCACAGGGCCATCCTGGTGGCCCGCTGTGAAGTGATGGCAGCCATGTTTAACGGGAATTACATGGAAGCAAAGAGTGTTCTGATTCCAGTTTATGGTGTTTCCAAAGAGACTTTCTTGTCATTCTTAGAATACCTCTACACAGACTCCTGTTGCCCAGGTTAGCAATATAAATGCTAAATAATACCTTTCAATTCTTTCTTTCTTTGTTACCCATTTGCTTTCTTTTTCGTGTGAAAAAAAGTTTTCATGTGAAGTCTTTTTTTTTTTCATTTTTTAAAAGCTAAAAATAAATCTATAAGAATGGACATCACAGAATGTACTAAATGGAGGGTGTTGAGCCAATAATGACTTTTTATCTAGCTCAGATAGATGAGCAGTGGTTGAGCACCTCTTTTGGGTTAGTTCACATGTCCTATCCAGGGAACTGCATGGTGATAATTGTAGGTACCCTGGAAACAGGGATGCTTGAGGTACCTGATAGCTGCTCTAATTCTACAATTTGGGCAGAGAGCTCCATAGAAAAAAGTGTTGGGCTATATATATTACAGCTCTGATTTATGATTGAGGCACTTTCATTTATCTTTCTAGCCCAGGTTATGTAACATTTTTTTAAGGCTTTCTTCTAACTTTCTTTAAAGCTGACTGCCCTAAAGCTTTGACTCTCCCCAGAACTTTTCCTTAGAGATTTAGAATGCCCAGTGGAATGTAGAATTTATTTCTCCATTCACTGGCCTAGGACTATCTTTGATCTGGAACCAACCATCTACAGCAGTCACAAACTGAAACAGATCTTGCCCGGTTTCTCTACGTGGAGAAACCTTGGAGATATTGCAGAATCCCTTGGAAGGTACTGGAGCTTTGGACTGCGGGCATGGAAGCTCCTTTTGATTGGTCTTCTCTCATTGGCCACCAGATGGCTCCCACCACAAATAGAACTGGAATAAACTGGTGGCTTAGTCCAGGATGACAAGACCTGGGCTTTGAAACCTGGCGGGCACCCCAACAAATATGAAAAGAAAACCCACTTGTCAGACCATCTCTCTCTTTAGGATTACTGTTTTAATTTTTAGACTATGAGATTTCCTACATGTGTTAAGTTTTAAACAAGTCATGCGCCCTCTAGAGAGAGGATTTAGAAATTCCAAAGCCAAAATCCCTTGCTAAGTTGAATTCAGTTGTGACAACCAGCTATAAAGTATTTTGGAGAAGGTTACATAGACTGGCATACTGTTTTCGCACAGCAAAAACTAAAGCATTGGTTATACTTTTAAGTTCATATCTAAAAGAACTAAAAGTAGGAACTCACACAGATATTTGTGTGCATGTGTTCATTGCAGCATTATTCATAGTAGCCAAAAACTATCCCTTGATGGATTAATGGATAAACAAAATACGACATATACGTATAATAAGTTATTATTTAGCCTTGAGAACGGAAGGTAATTCTGATATATACTATAATATAGGTGAATATTAAAGCTATTTTGCTGAGTGAAACAATCCAATACCAAGAGGACAAACACTAATTCCACTTAAATGAGGGAACAGGAGCAACTCAGATTCACAGAAATAGAAAGTAGAATGGAGGGTGCCAGGTGATGGGAAGGGGGGAAGTCGAGTTATTGTTTACTGGGTATAGACTTTCAGAGGTTTTAAGGTTCTGGAAATGGATAGTGGTGATGGTTGTGCAAAAACATGAATAAACTTAATGCCACTGAACTGTAGGCTGAAAAACAATTAAGATGATGAATTTTAACTCATGTATGTTATACCCCAGTAAAAAACAATTTTAAGTGACGATATTGATTCTTATCAGGAAAAAAATGTTATTGTTTATTATTTTAGCACTGACAGATTTGTACATTAAAGAAAAAAGAGACCATATTTGGAATGGCAATCTGGTTTCTCAATCATCTTCTTACTAGAATAATTGAAGCTTCTGATTTTATGTTTTGTCTTGCTAATTTGAAAAAAAACTGCTTAAAAAATAGTAATTATAGGGCAGAGCACTTTAAAGATTGGTAAGTAATGGGGGAAATGAGTCAAAATGAACAATCAATAAGTTAGATACTGGAATATTTGCATTGGGAAATCCACAGAGTGGTAATCTCTTCATTATATGAAATGTAGATCATTCACAGTGTTTTGGTTTCTAACTTAGTATAAAAGACCTTGAATGATAGCCAGTGGTTGGGGGAGAAGATGTGGAATTGTGTTTCATACTACTGAACTACACATTTAAAAATGGTTAGTGGTGGCAACAACAAATGTTGGTGAGGATGTGGAGAAAAAGGAACTCTCCTACACTGCTGGTGGGAATGCAAACTAGTACAACCACTATGGAAAACTGTTTGGAGGTTCCTCAAACTGCTAAACATGGAGCTTCC